ACCCAGCAGGTCAAGGCTGTGGTGACTGGGAGCGTGCCGCTGCCCTCCAGCCTGGGTGACAGAGTGAGTCTCCAACTCAAAAAAAAAAAGTGCATAAAGTTATGGTAAGCTAACCTTAATTTATTATTGAAGAAAAATATTAAAAAAAATAAATTTAGTATGTAAGTGTACAGTGTTATAAAGTCTATAATAGTGTTGTACAGTAATAGGTCTTCACACATACTCAACCACCACTCATTCACTGACTCACCCAGAGCAACTTCCAGTTAGCAAGCTCCACTCATGGCAAGTGCTCTATATATGTGTACCATTTTTTTGTCTTTCATACTATATTTTTACCTTACCTTGTCTATGTTTAGATACGTTTAGGTGTACAGGGTGTTAACAGTCGCCTACAGTATTAAGTGTAGTAACATGCTGAACAAATTTATATACTAAGAGCGGTAAACTATACCATATAGCCTAGGTGTTTAGTAAGCTATACCATCTAGGTTTGTGTAAGTGCACTTTGTAATGTTTGCATTATGATAAAATCGCCAATGGGCCCATTTCTCAGAATGTGTCAATGTTGTGTAGGCTACACATGACTACTGGTATCTGTCAATTTCTGTCATTTGCATTCTATACTCCATTATTCTTCCCATTATACATATTCTTCCTAAATATCTTTCACTTGACTCCCTACTACTTGTTAATTTTCCAAACTCCTTCTTACCTCAGATTTCTCTTGAGCTTTTGACCTGTATATCCAGTTATCTCCCATATCATATAGCTTTGCTTAATATAGCAGCTTATAGCTGCTTCAAGTCAAAAGGTCTAATGTATTAATTATATTTCTACCAGAACTTAGCTTTTTTATACTCCTGTGTTTCCTGTCTAAGTAAATGCTATCCCTATCTACCAGAAATGTATGAGTCATCCATTTCTCCCTTTCTCCCACTTCTGCTCAGGGTACCAAAACAGTAATGCCTAGTGGTTAAAGTATGAATTTCTGAGTCAGACCTGGTTGCAAGAATTTGTATGTAGGGATTTTTAAAAGATCAATATAAATTCACTTTTTAAATATTTATGAAGAAATACGTAAAAATGGAACAACTCTAATTGAGTGAGGGAAAACAGAGTTCTACCTCTCCAGCTACTTAGCTAGTTTCTTCTTCATTTATTTGAGAAATATTGATTGGAATTATTATCTTATTTTACTTCTTGATAGTTTTGTGACCTCAGAAAAATTAATCTTATCAATATATGACTTTGGGGCAGTATACTTTGCTGCCTAATTTAACAGGATGGTTTTAGGATCAAGAGACAATGAATGTTGTGTTTCAAGTTAGATTTTAACAGTTTATAAGAAGTGTAAATATAAAGCACAACTATTTTGAGATGCTGTTTGCACATTTCTTTGTCTTTTTTTTTTTCTGAGTTGGAGTGTCACTCTGTTGTCCAGGCTGGAGTACAGTGGCACACCCCCAGCCACTACACCCTCAGCCTGCTGGGCTCATATGATCCTTCTGCCACAGCCGTCCAAGTATCTGGAACCACGGGCATGTGACACCATGCCCAGCTGATTTTTTTATTTATTATAGAGGCAAGGTCTGGCCAAGTTGCCCAGGCTGTTCTCAAACCCCTGGGCCCAGGCAATCTTCTTGCCTCTGCCTCCCAAGTGCCGAGATTATAGGCATGAGCCACCACGCCCAGCTGTTTGCACATTTTCAGGTGTCTATATCTATGCTATTAATCATGTTTGCCACACATCTTTGCCAAGTAAAGGTGATACAAAGACATTCGTAATTGCTGGTAAGAGTGTAAATTAATATACTCTGGGGAATAGTTTGACTATAACTACCAAAATGTCTTTAAAAATCTATGTATCAAGCTGGGCTTGATGGCTCAGCCTGTAATCCCGCGCCTTTGGGAGGCTGAGGTGAGTGGATTGCCTGAGCCCGTGGGTTTGAGACCTGCCTGGGCAGCGAGACCTCATCTCTAAAATAAATCAAAAAATCAGCTGGGCATGGTAGCACATGCCTGTAATTCCGGCTACTTGGAAGGCTGAGGCAGAAGTATTGCTGGAGCACAGCAGGTCGAGGCTGCGGTGGCCGGGAGCGGCCACTGCACTCCAGTCTGGGCGACAGAGTGAGACTCCAACTCAAAAAACAAACAAAAAAATCTATGTATCAGCCAGGCACAGTGGCTCAAGCTGTAATCCCAGCACTTTGGGAGGCGGAGGCGAGAGGATTGCCTGAGCTTAAGGGTTCGAGACCAGCCTGGGCAAGACCACATCTCTACAATAAATCAAAAAATTAGCTAGGCGTGGTAGCACACATCTGTAGTTCCAGCTACTTGGAAGGCTGAGGCAGAAGGATTACCTGAGCCCAGCAGGTCGAGGCCATGAGCCACTGCACTCCAATCTGGGCAACAGAGACTCCAACTAAAAAACAAACAAAAATAAATAAATAAAAAAATAAAAACCTGTGTATCATTTGACCAAAGTGCTGGGATTACAGGCATGAGCCACTGCACCCAACCTCTCATCAGTACAAAAATTAGCCAGGTGTAGTGGTGTGTACTCTGGAGGCAGAGGTGAAAGGATCATATGAGTCCAAGAGGTCAAGGCTGTGGTGAGCTATGATTTAGCTGCTGTACTTCAACCTGAGCCACAGAGTGAGATCCGAACTCAAAAATAAATTAATAAAATGTCCATTAAGATCATAGTTATTATAGTTAGTGCATGTGTTACACATACATATTATCTATTATATGAGCTTTAGTTTTGTAAGCTGTGTGCTATGTACTCAGGCAGAGTTTCTGGCATTGGGACCTGACCCTGAGATAGGAGTGTAAGCAAAGTAACAACATTAAATATTTACAAATATTATATATGATTTCTTGATATTTTCCTCTTTATTTGCTTGGTATTTGTTTTTTAGATGAAAAGAAGTAGAAAATAAAACTTAGAAATAGATATGTTTTATTTAGCCTCTTGTTTTCTTTATTATTTGGGGATACAGTAGTCCAGCTAAAGGAAATTAATTTTTTGTTGAAGGCTTGTAGTACACACAACACAAAATATTTGATGGAATATCATGAGGGGAGCCATTGCCTTCTTATTTTATATTGACTTGGAAGGTCTAAGTTGAATTATTTGGTGGAAGTTAAAAAGTAGATTTTAGCTCTGTATAAAGAAGGTATTTTGAAATGAATTGAGGTAGCTATTGGTAGAACAGGCCAGAAAGTACAGGCTGTGGTATGAGCAGCACATAGACTCAGAGTCATAATAGCATAAAGAATTTATGCTGGGCACGGTGGCCCAGGCCTATAATCCCAGCAATTGGGGAGGCTGAGGTGAGAGGATTGTCTGAGCCCACGGGTTCAAGCAGTCCTCAGCCTCCCAAAGTGCTGGGGTTACTGGCGCAAACTGCCATACCTGGGATCAAGCAGTCCTCAGCCTCCCAAAGTGCTGGGGTTACAGGCGCGAGCTGCCATACCTGGCAGATTATTTAAATTAACTAAAAATGTTTTAAAGGAAACCCAAGCAACCAATGTTTCTATCATAGTGGGACTAAAGGCTCAAAAAAAATTGAGAGAAAGCTGATTTTCCCTTCTCTGAAAGAATACAAGTTTTTTTTTTTGTTTTTTTTTGTTTTTGAGTTGGAGTCTCACTGTGTCACCCAGACTGGAGTGCAGTGGCCGCTCCTGGCCACCGCAGCCTCGACCTGCTGGGTTTGGCGATCCTTCTGCCTCAGCCTTCCAAGTAGCTGGAACTACAGGCGTGTACTACCACACCCGGCTAATTTTTGATTTTTATTGTAGAGATGAGGTTTTGCCAAGTTGCCCACCCAGGTCTCGAACCCGCGGGCTCAGGCAGTCCACTCACCTCAGCCTCCCAAAGGCTCGGGATTACAGGCTGAGCCACTGAGCCCGGCTAAAGAATACAAGTTGAACAAGTGCTACTAATCCAGAAATTTAAAATACTGGAGAATTTCAATATGATGCTCTAAGGAAATATTAACTGGAACATTTTGGATTTTCAGATTAGAGATGCTGAACCAGTAAGTTTAATGCAAATATTCTGAAAATTAAAATCTGAAGCACATCTATCTGGTCACAGGCATTTTGGATAAGAGATATTCAACCTGTATAGTGCAAGCATGAAAAGGCATCTGCTAATTCAGCTTTTCTAACTTCCGAGTTACAATTCTAAATGAATGTCTCATTCTGTGATAGTATACTAAGTTTATAACTTATGCTCCCTCCCACTCTAATTAAAGTTCTAATATAAAATTGCTTATAATTTTATGGAAACATTTCTCTGCAAAACTGAATTCCAGTTGTCAGTCCTCGAGTATATAACAAGTAGTGAGGGAAGGCTAAATGTAAACATTATCAAAATTGGTTATTATTGTCACAAAGCTATATACTGATATATAGAGTTGCCCACAGCTTGTGAGATAAGCAACTCATTAGAAACTTACAACTATTTTGTTTCTTGTCTAGTGGTTTTTTTTGCTTTTTTTTTTTTTTGAGTTGGAGTCTCACTCTGTTGCCCAGACTGAAGTGCAGTGGCACAGCCACCCCAGCATCAACCTGCTGGGCTATGGCCATCCTTCTGCCTCAGCCTTCTAAGTAGCTGGAACTACAGGCACATGCTACCACACCTGGCTAATTTTTTATTTATTGTAGAGTTATGGGCTCAGACAATCCATTTACCTTGGCCTCCCAAAGTGCTGGTATTAAAGACTAAGCCACCGAGCCCAGCCTTTTTTTTTTTTTTTTTAAAACAAAACTTATAGTTTAAAAAAAAAATCTTATAGCTGAAACCTTGAGTAATGTAATATTATAGATGTACTGTGATAAGGACTAAATGTTCTAGAGGCTTTGCAGGGGTGTCTGTATGATTTGGAAGGTAATGTCTTCAGACTTACGAGATTTTAAATAAAATGTTATTTTCTCAAAATAGAAATGGAAGATTTTTTTAGGAATCATTTGAATTTGTTATCTTGCAGAAATCGAGCTATAGCAGATTATCTTCGTTCAAATGGCTATGAAGAGGCATACTCAGTTTTTAAAAAGGAAGCTGAATTAGATATGGTATGTTTGACTTTGTACAATTACTCATAGTATAATAAATGGTGGATTTTATTCAAGTGTTAATAATTACCAGTCAGCTTTGTTGTTCACAAATCTTGTCATTTGTTTTGGTTTACTTGGTGTTGAACTTGATTTTCACCCCTTTCTTTGTATAATCAGATTTTTAGTAATGTTTGAGCTTAGAGATGCATGGCCTCTGGTTTAAACTATCATAGTTAAGCCATTTTTAAAAAGTTCTCATTTTTTTTTCCTTTAGAATGAAGAATTAGATAAGAAGTATGCTGGTCTTTTGGAGAAAAAATGGACATCTGTTATTAGATTACAAAAGAAGGTAACTAGATATTTTTTCTTTTAAATTAGTTGTATTTAGTATGTGATGTAAACTTTCTGAAAATATTAACGTAAATTATTCTGCATTAATTAATAATTATATCTCATCTTTATTTGCTTTTTCTTTATTTTATTTTAAAGATGTGGAGTACAGTTCTGGGTTAGATACACAAATGTTCATTATGCAGGTACCCTTATTGATCAGGCGTTCCCCCCTCCTCTCCTCCCTGCCCCCCACAGATTCCCACTACTACCAACCCTCCCACCCCTCACTGGCATTTTTGCTACTGCCAGTTCTTTTCTTAGAGTATTACAATAATTGTTCATGGTCCACTTATGAGTGAGAACACGTGATACTCAGTTCTTTGTTTCTGTGTATATCTCACCTTTAAAAGGCAAATAAAAATACATTTTCTATGCTTTCTGAAAACTTACCTAGACAGATAATTGCTGATACTTGATAATTCATTCATCCTGTAGTGCTGACTGGGTTGAATCTGCATGGTCCTGACTTTGAGGAGTTGCTACTGGAAAAACTGATTTATATACTTAGAAGGAAGGAGTGTTGGAGCCAGTGTGTTGCTGGTAAAAGAGCACTAAATTGTGTTCTTAGACAAGTCATTTTGTCTCTGAGTTTTCATCTGTAAAGTGAAGGCAACAAATAATATTCCAGTCCTGAAATATACTTCTGGGCACTATTAGAATAAATAAATAACACTGTTATGAGTTCATCCTTATAAAGTTCTTAGAAAAATGCTTAGTGCATAGTATATATTCAGTAAATACTAGTTTTTATTATTGTTAATATTAGCATATGTAATGTAAATTGGTTTGGAAATAGTTTACTAAGAGTAGCTGCCTTAGAAGGGACCAAGACTTGTTGTCTTGTAATTAGTAGTAGAAGACTCACCAGATGGATGTAAATTGAAATTTTCCTTTGCGTTGAGTAGTTAAGACAATTATACTGGTTTTTTGTGTGTTTTTTTTTTAGTAGGACTCTCACTCTGTTCCCCAGGGTAGAGTGCAGTGGCACGCTCACAGCCACCACAACCTTGACCTGCTGGGCTCAGGTGATTCTTCTGCCTCAGCTTTCCAAGTAGCTAGAGCCACAGATGTGCATGACCACACCCGGCTAATTTTTTGATTTATTGTAGAGACAAGGTCTCACCAAGTTGCCCAGGCTGGTCTTGAAACCCTGGACTCAGGCAATCCTCTCACCTCTACCTCCCAAAGTGCTGGGATTACAAGCATGAGCCACCTCGCCTGGCTTGGATATATATATATATATATATATTTTTTTAGTTTTGTTACACTACTTAGTTTTTTTTTTTTAATGACAAAAAATTTTGATTTTAGAGACATGGTCTGTGTCACCCAGCCTGGAATGCATCAGCATACAGCAGTCATAGCTCACAGCAGTCTCAAAATCCTGAACTCCAGTGATTCTCTCACTTCAGGCTCCCAGATAACTGGGACTAAAGTGTGTGCCATCATGCCCAGTAGATCTTTTTTATGTATATTTTTTTGAAAGATGAGGTCTTACTGTGTTGCCCAGGCTGGTCTTGAACTCCTGGCCTCAAGCAATCCTCCCACCTCAACCTCCCAAATCGTTGCAATTACAGTTGTGAGCCACTGTACCTGACGACACTACTTAGATTTGATGGTAATATAAACAAATTATTTTCATTTAAATCTGACAGATGTTCTGTAAATTACTGAAGTTTTTTTCAAGTATCTTGCATATATGTATGCAAAATAGAGGCAATTTTCAAAATGTCATATATGATATTTTAAAATCTAAATCTACCTATATATAACTGCATGTTCTTTCTCAAGGTCATGGAATTAGAATCCAAGCTAAATGAAGCAAAAGAAGAATTTACATCGGGTGGACCGCTTGGTCAGAAACGAGACCCAAAAGAATGGATTCCCCGTCCACCAGAAAAATATGCATTGAGTGGTCATAGGAGTCCAGTCACTCGAGTCATTTTCCATCCTGTTTTCAGTGTTATGGTCTCTGCTTCAGAGGATGCTACAATTAAGGTAGTTTTTTTGTTAAAAGCAGACTTATACTTAATTGAATGAAAGAAGTAAAAAGATCCTAAAAATGAGGACCTAAGCTGAGGGACAGGTAGAACTCTTTGAAATTAAGTGAATAGTTCTAAACCGTAGACAGAATTAGAATAAAATTTTATCATAACTCATTAGAGGCATGCTATGCTGCCTAGATAAGTTTGATATGGATTTGAGAAAATGCGGTGCTGCTAAGTTATTTTATGGCTGTAGGCCACCTTGTGCTTGAATAATTTTTGTTCTTATAGAATGAAAAGTTTTTGGCTTACTTTTAAGAAGAGGTGATACATGAAAATATTGGTTTACAAAAATAGTAATTTGTGGGGCGAATCTATTTTGCAAAATAATTCAGTAGAGGGGTTTTTTTTTTTGAGTTGGAATCTCATTCTGTCGCACAGGCTGGAGTGCAATGGCACGCTCACGGTCACCCCAGCGTCGACCTGCTGGGCTCCAGTGATCCTTCGACCTCAGCCTTCCAAGTAGCCAGAACTACAGGTGTACACTACCACACCCAGCTAATTTTTTATTTATTGTAGAGACTAGGTCTTGCCAAGTTGCCTGGGCTGGTCTCGAACCTACAGGCTCAGGCAATTCACTCACCTCGGCCTCCCAAAATGCTGGGATTACAGGCTGAGCCACCGAGCTTGGCCAAGGATTCATTTAAATTGAACTCTCCTAGCTGGGCATGGTGGCTCACCCTTGTAATTCCAGCACTTTGGGAGGCAGAGGCGACAGAATTGCCTGAGTCTAGGGGTTCAAGACCAGCCTGGACGACTTGGCGAGACTTCGTCTCTGTAATAAATAAAAATATTATCTGGACATGGTGGCATGTGCCTATGGTCCCAGCTACTTGGAAGGCTGAGACAAAAGGATTGCCTAAGCCCAGCAGGTTGAGGCTGCGGTGGTCATGAGCTTGATTCCTGGGCGGCAGAGTGAACTCCAACTCAAAAAAAATTGTACATTCATTGATGTGTCTAAAATTGGCTTTGGGCAGGGTTTGGTGGCTCAGCCTATAATCCCAGCACTTTGTAAGACCGAGGCGAGTGGATTGCCGGAGCCTACGGGTTCAAGACCAGCCCAGGCAACTTGGCGAGACCTCATTTCTACAATAAATAAAAAATTAGCTGGGTGTGGTTACGCACGCCTATGGTTTCAGCTACTTGGAAGGCTGAGGCAGAAGGATTGCCAGAGCCCAGCAGGTCGACACTAGGGTGGCTATGAGGGTGCCACGCACTCCATCCTGGGCAACGGAGTGAGACTCCAACTCAGAAAAAAAAAAAAATTGACTTTGATTCCAAACTTAACAGTAATCCTCTCCAAGAGTATAGAAGTATAAAAGCTTTTCATTTTATAAGTTATGTAGTTCTCTCATTCTTGAATTTTTCTTAATAAGCTTATACTACATTTTAATGTACTTTTTAAGAAAAAAGGTTTTTTTTTTATTTTTATTTTTTTTGAGTTGGAGTTTCACTCGGTCGCCCAGACTGAAGTGCAGTGGCTGCTCCGGGCCACCACAGCCTCGACGTGCTGGGCTCCGGCGATCCTTCCGCCTCAGCCTTCCAAGTAGCCGGAATTACAGGCATGTACTACCATACGTGGCTGATTTTTTGATTTATGGTAGAGATGAGGTCTCGCTGCCCAGGCGGGTGTCAAACCTGTGGACTCAGGCAATCCACTCATCTCAGCCTCCCAAAGGCGCGGGATTACAGGCTGAGCCACCAAGCCCGGCTAGAAAAAAGTTTTTATAATTGCCTTTTTGATCCAGACACAATAAAATGACATTTGTATAAACACTCTACAGAAAGTTGATAGTTAAAATATCAGTAGGTTTAGGTAGGTTTCTCTATTTTAAGGCTTATTTCAGATTAAATTCCAGATTTTAGGTTTCATTTAGAAAAGTATAACTAAGAAAATATGAGTAGATTGTATATGTCATGTAGTAGCAGTCCAGCATAAAATGCAAGCATGATTTCAATGTGACTATACTTAACCAGTTCTTCAAATTAAACATTGCTTTACATTGTCCTTATATGGTTTCTTTAGTTTCTAAGCCAGTGACTTCCAACCTGGTAATTTATGGGGGCGAGCTGCAGAGTAATTGTAAGGAAGTCTTAAATTCTTAAGTTCATCGTGTATTTCTGTAGGTTAAAATAATCATACGCCTATTACATTAATATATTACCATTTTTTCAAATGGAAGTAGATATACATTTAAATTAATGATTTCATGTTAGTCTTGTTATTGTGTATTGTATATGCTGTTGTGAAGTGTAGGGATGGAGGTAGACATTCTTGAATAGGTGAAAAACCCAGGCTTAATTATTGATTTTGCAGCATTGTTATAAAGGCATTAACAGAACAGTAAATGTGACATCTTAAAACATGTCTATTGAGTCAGTTTTAATGTATTACAAATGAAAGTTTTAAAACTTTTCATTTATAATCATACCACATTTATTTAGATGTGTAGACATGGTTGTTTCATTAATGAAAAGCAGTTATATGTGGTTTCATTAACTTCTTGATTGGATTTATTTTAAAGATACTTTATTTAGTTTCTTTTCTTTGAGTCAGAGTCTCATTCTATCACCTAGGCTGGAGTGCAGTGTCATGCTCACGGCTACTATAGCCTCTACCTGCTGGCTCAGGCAATCCTTCCGCCTCAGCCTTCCAAGTAGCTGGGACTACAGGTTGCACCACCACAACCAGCTAATTTTTTTTTTTTAATTGTAGAGACACGCCAGGCTCAGTGGCTCAGTCTGTAATCCCAGCACTTTGGGAGGCTGAGGTGAATGGATTGCCTGAGCCCGTGGGTTCAAGACCTGCCTGGGCAACTTGGCAAGACCTCATCTC